TTTATTTTTTAATATATGATTATTAATGTGATCAAACTTTCGCTTAAAGTTTATTTAACCAGATCACATGATTACCTTACGTTGGATCATACCTTATGTTGGTCCCTCACATTAAATATTTTAGTCGAAGTATTTGTTGGAACGTAATAATAAGGTAACATGGTAACACGTCGCGTAACAATGGCAAGATAATGGCAAGATTGATGAATAAGTGAGTCATACATATAGATAGACGGCGAGTCTGTCGCAGAATGTCGCGTAACCGTCGATGAGGTAAGGGGTCTTAGCGAAATTTTTAGGCGTGTTCGACTTGGCTGAGTAAAAAAGAAATCAATCAATCAATGTCCTTTATTTACTTTTTACTTCCCTCTTTTTATACATATTAGTTGGGACGGTTTTTACATTCTGAAAAATAAAGGTGACATCGATTATCTAATGTCTTCTCATGATTCTCCTTAATTACATAATGCTCGGTCACAATTATTTTATATTACCTAATCGTTTCAGGAACCTCACCTCATTACCTAACTCTCTAACACATTATTCTGCTATCATTTTAACCATTTCCTATAACTTTCGCTTACTTTTTACCTCCATACCGCCTTGAGTACCATGATCGAAACGGGTCCTTTGTAGCACTAATGCGACGATTGGTCACGTGACTGGTATCGCGTCACGATTTTTACCCTCTGACACCATATACTGTATAAATACATAACTCGATGTTTTTTTGAAAAATCCAGGGTTTAGAATACTCTTGTTTTTCGCGCTTATCAAATAATGTTATTTTTACTTTGCTCCATAAATGTTTCGTCTCTATAAACTATACTCCAATAAGTCTAAAGGTTAGTGCAATTATAATAAAGTAAAACTTTTTAGTAAGAAACTGACGTTACATTTGTTTTCTTTAAAAAAAAATTTTTTTTTCTCGCTAAACGTTTCTAAGTTAAGACTTCAAAACTTAACTCTAATTACTCGATGACGCACTATGATTATCCTGAATGGCAACAAGCTCGATAAAGACAGTATACTATCTAGAACATATGAATTTTCAATAATATTCTCTTGACTTTTTAAAGCTTTCTTCAAATAGTAAATATATTACGTTTTAAAAATCAATGTATATATACGTAATATTTTATATAATCGTTATACATTAGAAAATTTTTTATGATGTTAAGCAGTTTTATCGAATGATGTATTAATACATTACAACATTTTACTTATGATTTTTTCTTTACAATCTGAAAAACTTCTAATCTATCTATATAATCGTGAACTTGGGTGTTTCGAATGTGGATTTCGTAATCTTTTTGTTTGCAATAAAAAACAAGTCGATCAAAAGCTTCATTTATATAAAAATCACTGGTGCCAAAACTAAAATATCTAAACCAACTCGTATTAGAACCTATAATCATAGCCTCATTTTCATTTTTAACTCTACTAATAACTGATTTATTTGTATTTCTTCCATTTTCTAATGAGAAAATAAAACTATTCTTTGCAATTATTTCTGTTTCTTTTAATCCTGGTTTAATAAAACCATCAGGATTGTATCCCCCAAGAATCTCGCCCGTTTTATGGTTTTTCACTATTAATATTAAGGCTACTTTATTGACACATAAGTTCCAAAAGGAATCGAAAAACTTAACGGCGTTAGATACGAGAGATGCATCAGATGCGCCATATGCTAGAATTAAATTGAATTCATAGGAATATTCTAGAATACCATGGGATGTCTCTCCATCAATCCATGATATTATTTTTGCCGCTTGTTCAGTAGTTATTATTTTCGAAGATATATTCACTTGCCGTAAAGGAGTTACATCCCTAGAAGGTAATTGAATACTTGAAGGTTTTCGAGCCGGCAATATTGTAGAAGAAATTGGAAGATTTGGTGCCATATATTTGCTCATAATATCGTTCCAAAGTTGAGTTTCTAGAATCTGTTGATAAGGACGAATTTTACAAAAGACATACTCTCCAGGTATATGAAAGAATCGAATATATGGTAGGCAATTTTGAAGAGTTTTTTTTAAAGCAAGAAAATCGGAGTCTTTCCATTGTTCAAGAGCTGAAGGCAAAGTATGGTTCTGTGCAACACCCCATCTAATAACGATATCCCAAACTTTAGACTCTTCAAGTTGTAAGTCATCTCGTTTAATAACGGATATTAAAGTCTTTTCATTTAGTTTATAGAAATCTTCTGAATCAAATATAATTCCAGGATGCTTTGTTATAATATCGTTATAAAATTTTTGAAGCATAGTGAAGTCATTATTCTTATGACTTATTTGATAGACCTGAGAAAAATTCAATCGTAACCAAGAGGCTTGATGCTCGATTAGATATGACTCTACATATTTGGACAATTCCTTAAGCCCCAATTCACTTGCACAAGTCAATAGGTCAAATATAAGTGAAGTTGAGACACTCTTCAAATCAATTATTCCACCATAAATGTATCTAATTAATTAATAGTTATTAGCATTGTAATGTTACTATTAATCATATTACCTAAACCGCATACCTAATAACGATGTCAAAAACTTTTACTAAAACTTTAGGCTTTTTAATAACCTTAATGTTTCTATCGTTATAATCGATATCTTTGAGTTCGTTATAGAGATAAGGGCAACGATAACACAAGATAATTGAATGTACTCTGAATAATTGTTTAACGGAACCCTCCCCTATTTCGATGATTACATTGTACTCATCGTTATTTTCGAAAAGCTTTAGGAGGTCTAGAGATAAATTTCGAAGAAAGGTTGAAGTCATCTCTCTGTACAGTATAGGTTGTACGTGCACACTGTATTTAAAATGAGTAGCTTGTGCCATATTACGTAATACAGTACGTAATTTACAGTATAAATTTGATTGGTTAAAATATTTTTTTGTTTTAGTAAAGTCTTTAAAGAACCAAAAATATTTGAGTTGAAAAATAAGAAAATTATTGAATTTAAAGAATTTTAGCAATAAACTATCATGTATAAAAGTTATTCTTATACATTTATTATTCAAATTTCAAATATATATTTTTGTGTTAAAAACAATTTGAATATAAATCTATTAAAAAATTTAAATAACTTTACAATAATAAATAAATTTTGATTTATTTTTATTTAAATTAATAAATTAACTTTGTTTAATATACAATACAAATTTATAAACCAAGCATTCTAAAAATACCAAGTTTTATAAAATGATGAAATTATAAAATTTTTATATAAATATATAATAAAATAAACTTATTTAATAAAAATTGATGATTTTATAATTAATTAATTAATATAACAAGGTTATTTATTAAATAACTCAACATCATTCAATATTAATAACATGTGATATAGGCTTTAAAGTAATACTAATCATATGAGTAATCGATAAAACGTTGTTTTATTTATTTGTATAATCACAATAAATTCATTATTCATTATTCATTATTTATTTTATTTTATTTTTGCCATTTTATTGATATTTTATATTTATATATTTTAAGAAAAACAACGTATAATAATTATGTATATTTGTTATTGTCATACTATTTTGTCTTTTTTTTTAAAAAAAAATAATTTATAATCAAATATTAAAATTTGTTTAAATAATAGTTTCAATTTTATTTTTTATTTTTTTTGTATAATTGGTTTTTATTTTTATTTAAACCAATCACATAGCTATTGATTTATGTCTATAAGCTATAAAGAATAAATAATTAAATTAGCTCTGATAAATATTTAAATCCTTTTTTAAAAAAAAATCAAACCATCATTATTAACTATATTCTACAACGTTTTACACCGATACCTTATTTTCTGGTCTATTTGATGATACATAAAAACAGAAATTACTTTTTGTTCGAAGCGTATAGAACTTACTATATGGGTTTGTTATCGTCAAGATGCCTTGAGGCTTTCCTGTAATAAATTAGTTCTCAAAAATTACTTTACACACAAGCTTGGCCACCCGATACTGTAACCTAAAGATATGTTAGTGATTAAAGAAAATAAATAAAATTTATAATTAACATATGATAAAGTACAATTTTTAACTAAAGATCAAAAAATAAACACAACGTTGTATAATAATCTTAAATATGAATTTTTTAAAGGAATTGTGAATAATAACTTGACAAGAATATCTTCCGATGTAAAAGAATTTTCTAAAAACAACTAAATATATGCCTTTATTTTCCTTGATTGATCAATTTGATCATCTCATTAAATTTTTCGTCGATATTTTCAAATTATTATACAATTTAATTATTTTTAATAATACGAGATAATTGTACTATAATATTTTTCATTCTTTATTTCCACTTTATTTACATATCATATAAACTTAATAATAAATACTTACTAATATCTGAAACTTTTTGTGTTAGAAACTGGGAGAATTAATCTTCAAAGTAAAAATACAATGCATAAGATTACTGTATATACAGTATGCATCAGTTGCAAGGTCTGCAGATACGATTTTTTTTTCTTGATGTGAAACATCCAAAAAAGTCAAATGTTGTTCATATGGTTTCTTGAAAAAGTCCCCACCATTATGGATTATAATTATATCTACTCTTAATTAAATTTTTAATTTTTTCCGTAATAGGAATAATTTTAATAATTATTGTTATAGCATTTTCATTTTTTATATCCCCTATTAAGACTGACCAAGAAATGATGTTATCGGAAAACCATCTCTTATTGCAATTCCGAATAAAAACGCAGACAATTTTCAGTATTTAAACACTCTTTAGAAATCAATATCAACAAGTATTGAATGGAAACTATAAAATCAGGAAATAGAATGTCGGTCTTATCAGGAAAAGTATTGCGGCAGGGTTCGCAAATTTATATTAAGTTAGAACTTTTAATATAAGAATTATTGAATTATACTGTATAATGAATATTATAAAGCATAAAACCAATCCAATTCCAAGGACTTTTAATATAATCTAAATCATGGATAAGTTGTCAAATTTCAAAGTATACAAAAATCCAAGAATTGTTATCTCCAAAAGAGCTCACATGAAATTGTTGTAATTGTGATAAAAGGTGATAAAATATAGAATAAATTGCTCACTTAAATAATGATACTTCCTTCCATATGTAAATTAACAAGAGCTTTAATTTTTGGTTATTTGAAAGCTTTAAAGATTTTAATGAATCCAAGTGAGTGAATCAACTTTCACAAATAAAATAGCCTTCTTTAAGGTAGGTTAAAATTTAATAAATTTATTATTAATTTAACGTTTCTTTAGAGTTTAAAATTTAGTTTTATTTCTGTTGAGTGATTCTAATTCTAAAGGAATATAGATGATTATATCTGATAATTTAATAAACTTGGAAATAACATGGACTTTCAGAAACTGGAGTAATTATGTTTGCTAATTAATCCAATAAATCATATCCTTTTTCCTTGAATTTTTAAAGTGTGATCTTTCAAATAATTTCGGAAACAAAAAACTTTTCATATATTCATTTGACGGAATTTTGATAAACTACTATTTTTGAATATTAAATATTTTAGTCAAAGTAGGTTGTGGGAACATAACAATAAGGTAACATTTTACAGTAACATGTCATGTAACAATAGTGAGATAATGGCAAGATTGATGTAATAAGTGAGTCATATATACAGTATGGTGCAAAAAATTTTAGAATATTATTTATATGGGTAATTATTTTTGAAGGCGAACCGGAAATTTTCTGACGTGATCCTAAAATTTATATTATATATGTATTGTTTAAAAGTTGGGTCTGAAAAAATCATATCTAGCATTTTTGTTG